TTTTATCTACCGTTAGTTAAAATAAGCTTAATCATGCAATAATCGCCTATTTTTTTAAGATAGCGTAATAATTATATCTGTTGATAAGATCGACTACATTTTAATCAAGTTTACAACTATAAGCCACCTTATCTAAGAAAGACCTAGTTTCATTTTCTCTTTTTCATTATTATTTTGACAGTAGTGATATATAAATGCACAGTGCAAAGCATTTTCACTGTTTTAAAAATTTTATCTTCATAATAAATAGTAAATAAATCAGTACTGTTAGTAACTTGTTATAACTAGAAGCAGTGCCAAAGATTAATTACACAACACATTATTCCATGTATATACACACTAATTTGATAGTACTTACTGTTAATAAAAATAAGTTTAATTTCCTGTAAAAGATTGTATGACTTTTAATTAAAATCGTATAAATTGTAATGTATGTACTTAAATGATTTGTTTTCAATCTACGATTTAATTTAGTAAGTTTATCTTAAAGTACAATTCTCGTTTTTCAAATTTAATAACTATTACCGTAATATAATATTCTTAAACTTATATATAATTGTTCCATTTTAATTAACTTTTGATTATTAGGTTATTTTTTGATTGTTGCCGTGTTGTCGTAACATTTTGTACCATTCGTTTATATGTATTTTAAATTACAAAATTTAGATTTCATGCTCTTAGGCGCACGTTTTTGACGGTATCTCATCACTTTCTTAAGAATCACTAGCCCATACTACTCTGCGAACTTCCACTTGTGTTAGATGACTTACTTGCATTTGATAGTGTACGGAGTCAACCAAAATGATTCCTATCCCCATTAATTGCTTTTGTTTTGTTTTTGACCGACCCAGATTCCCCTGCCATCGTCATAGGCTAGTGTTAAGCTATCTCTCGGTCAAATCTGACTTCTATCGTACTACTGTTATTGAACATACATCGATCGGTTGTGTTAACAGTTTTAACCATTTTTTTTCTTGAAAAATGACAACACGAAGTCTAGGATCATATTTTTCTAAACTCTTATTATATTTCATCTGCTTATACATTATTAAATCTTCAGAAGAATAGTATTCTTGCCTTTTTCTGATGTTTTATTATGAAAATCATCTTTGTTTTTTGAGGAAAATTTCGAAAACTTGCTCTTCAAAACTTTTTTTTTGCAATATTATTTTTGTAAGCACAAAGGTGAACTACATGAAATAATTAATTTTCGGTTGGACGGAAAAGGTGTTAAATATTTTAAGATGATTTATAGCGTAAGTCAATGACTAATTAAGCTTACGAATTGTGACTAGGGTAACTATGGAAGAGGGGAATAATAAGTAGTAATTAATTCCTTTCCTGATGTTTACTTACCTGTTCGGAGTCGCAAGGCTTGCGAAAGTATCTAGAACTATTATCATCCTCTGCCTTGTGATCCTTGTTGATAGAGTGATCCTGCACCCACAATTACCTCCAGATGTTGAAGTTCTGATCTGCTTGAAGGCGGATGGCTTACGCCCAAAGACACTAAACTTGTCCAAACGACGGTGTCCGCTGCCACCAATGTTACAGACATAAGTATAGGAGAATTATATCCCTAAAGTATCTGTTAGGATTTTTTTCGCCGTTTAGGTAAGTAAGGTAAGTAAACAATATCCCGTCGTGTGTATTATTTATTAAAGTCTTACGTCTAGCTACACTGTTGGTTATTTGTCAACTGCCTAAATAGGTGCTGTCTTCCTCTTTATGAAACTTTTTACTACCATTGTGTTGAAAGTAGTGATGATCCCTGTATAACTTAACATTAGTAGGAGTTCTGCATTTACTAGAGCTGATACAGTATTGTTGCAATCGTCTATGAGTATCAAGGAGCGATTTGTAATAATGTGATGCCAAAGACTACCTGAGTTTGTCTTTCAGCGCGCGTGTGAGGGCATTAACGTTTCGAGCTAAAGCTAGCTGACGTTAATAACATACTATAAGCTGGGTGGGAGCAGTTGACAAGTTCACATCTTGAACGTTTGCATAGATTGTATCAAATTTAGCTGTAAAGATTGGCTAAATAAGGACTAACTTGCTTTAATCACATGATTATTTATTTTGTTACACTTAAAAAAAAGTGATGCAGCCTTATCCCTGACCTTGAATTTTGATTTCAAAAATTTAGTCGACACTAAGGAGATCTCTTTTTTTTTAATATCTGATTTTGAGATTCGTAAGCTTCTCTTCTCATAAGTTCTCGAAATTTTACTAGTTAGATAAAAAAAAAAACTATTTAAAAAAATTGTGTTATCCAATATAAAAAAACCCTTAATTCTTAGAAATATTTGTGGTTAATGAAAAGTTTTTTATCAAATAAAAATATGATGTTGTTTCTTTTAAGCGTAATTTATTATCTTGATGTTTTAATCTTCAACATTAGCCTTCTTAGTCAATACTTTTTGGTCATAGAATTGAAATCCTAGTTTTATATGAAAACACCTAAGTAAATAAGCATTTTTTACTGTAAATTTTTATTTGTACATGATGATTTATTATAGAACGAAATTATTCATAAACATTTTATTTCTTATAGCTGTTCTTTAGCTCTCCTTTTAACAAAAATTTTAAGAACATCCTACGTATACTAAAATTTAGAAAGGTAATAACTCTTTACAATAAAGAATAAGTCAAAAAAATTATAAATATATGTGTTACATGTATGACGCATACTACAATAAAGTTAAATTATACTTTGTAGAGATAACAATCCTTATATTTTACTATATTACTTACATATTTTTAACAAAGTCAGATTTTTCTTACATCTACTCATCTGTAAAAATGTAAATACTGTTTACAACTTAAAAGATAAGAACTTATTAATTATTATGTTAACGTTCATAATAATAAATATTTTAGAAGTAACGTATGTAGGAAATTTTACATTTCACACCAAAAATAACATAAAAATTTTATAATTACTAAATGAACCATTGGTCANATTTTTATCATTATTATTACCTTCAGTATTATCATGATTATTATAATCATTATTATCACTATTATTATAATTATCATCATCATTATTATTATCATTAGTATCTTTATCATCATAATCATCGTTATCATCATCATCGTCAGCATTGGCATTGTTATCGTTTTTATTGACATTATAATTATCATCCCCTTATTTTTCATTATCATCATTATTATTATAATAATTGTCATCATAATGGTCATCATCATCATTGTTATTATCAGCATCGTCAACATAATCATCAACATAATCATCATCATTATCATCATCATCATCATTATCATTATTATTATCGTAATTATCATCATGATTATCATCATCATCATCATCATCATTATTATTATCATCATTTTTATTATTATCATTATTATCATCATTATCATTATTTTCTTCATTATTATTATCATCGTTATTATCATTATTATTATTATCATTATTATGATCATTATAATTATTATCAACATTATCATCATTATTATTATGATCATTTTTCGTATAACTATTATTACCTTTATTAGCATTATTAGCATTATAACTATCTTCATCATTCTTATTGAAGTCATTATTATCATCGTCATTATTATTATCGTTTTTGTCATAATTATCATCCTTATCATGATTATCGTTATTATTTTAATTATCATTAATATTACCATCATCTTTTTTATCATCATTCTTTTCATCATTAATATTATTTATATGATCATGATTATTATCATCAGCATTATCATCACCATTTTAACTATCATTATCATCTTCCTCATCATTATCATTATCATAACTATATTTATGATCAGCATTATTATTATCATTTTTATCATAATTATTATTATCGTTANTGTGTTTAAAAAATAATTATTGGAATTTTGTCGCAACAAAAAAAAATCAGTCAATAGTTATTAAAAACGCAATTCAAACAATACAAAAAATCTTTTTTTTCTTCTGTAATTTCAACTAGAAATTTTCTGCAACTTTTAGTTTTTGTTGTGAAGTATTGTCAAAAAACAGTTAGCAGCATTGTAGCTGGTTTGTTGTAGTATGGGGATTTATTTTTATAAATGTTAATTCATGAATAGAAAATGAATTGTAATCCTGACGTAAACTGCACTTTTTTGTCACCTCTTTTAATTTTTTATCCGTGGATAAAGTTGCAGCTGGTACAGAAAATTGATCAAATAGATCTATTTCAATACTTATTTTTTTACCAGAACGAGATATGATATAAATATGGTGGATCTTTATAAATTATGAACCTTTTTGGTTTTAAACTTATCATTTTTACTACTTATCTTAATATTGTCATCTGTTCCTAATATCAGGGCTCAATACAAACTCATACTAGGATGATATAGTAAAGTATAAAGAACAATTTAAACCTTTTTTTCTGAAACAGCTTCTAATCTATAAATCAATTAAGATATTTTTAAATTTCATTACATTTTCTAAGAATTCTTAGATAGTTTTTTAGGTTGGAAATTAGAAAAAAAGGAATTTTATGAATTTATATGAAAGTACTCCATTAATGAACATGACTTCTGTTTTGACTCTTTTACTACTGTACAAAGATTTTTGTACTTTTTAAGTTTTAAACGGCAAAGCAAAATAATGATAAAGTACTTAGCTAATATTAAAAAATTAGGGGGTTAACATCACATGAAGCGTGCAAACAAATGAAGCCCCACTTTGATGAATTCGTAGGTATAAATTAGAATATGTTTTTTAAGGTACACTTTACGAGAAACAAGAGCCTTCTTGTCCGTATGAATACATAGTTCTTGTATACACACAATTAAATTAAAATATTTCCAAGTAACTTATGTCACCTAAATCACAAGTGTTGTTTGTCCAATATTAACATTCGTCGCACCATAATATGCCTGTGTGTTTAAAATGATCAAAAATATTAGCATACGAATACTTTTTTTATTCGAAAAATCTATAAAGTTTAATTAAATAAAAAATAATCAAATATAAATACTTTTTACTCCTTACTTTTTAGATTCAACGTCTAGTATTGGTCCCTTCTTTGTTAAGATCACTTTTAATGTACCTAAGAGCACAGGTAAAAAGTTATTCGTTTTTAAACAGGGTAATACTTATATTTTCTTTACTTCTAAACTACATGTTTTCTTTTTAGAATAATGAGAAATGCCTAAGCCAATTGTTTCTTTGGATTTGCTCGGGAGAAAAGTTACTTCCTGTACTAGCTCAAGAATTTTTTAAACTATTTGTTGGTCAGAAAAAAGTTATTGCCAATTTTTATGGAAGTACAGAGATAATGGGTGATGTCACATTCTACGTATTAGAGGATAATGATATACATTTACAGAGAAATGAGATTCCGATAGGTAAGAATCATTTAAAGTCATTATTTCTGTAAAAAAAACATCAACAGCTGTTAAATTTCTTACTGTTCACGTAAAGATGAAATTTAGAGTATCAATAAGTAATACAGTACTTCGTCTAATGTAAACTGCATAAAAATACAGCATACAACGTTCATATAAGTAGTACCGTGTTCGTACGACAAGCACGACATCTTAGTGAGTCAGATTAGAAAAATAAACCTTTAATCATTATACATATATAATATACAAGCCCCTTATATATAAACTCAACATATAACAAAAAAACATAATATTAGCCCCTATTATATGTCAGTTTTCGAGTCAAGTATAATGTTTTTCTTACCAAGGGTGCAAAGTGACATTTTGCGCGCGTAAGCATACTTTGCACTCAGTAAATTACTTGAGGGCCTAGGGAAAAAAGTGCTTTTCATGATTCTGTGCCAAAAGTAGGAAGTTTCGTCCCATCTTCGTGGGTTAAAAATCCCCTCTCTTGGCGCAGGATTGATGGAGAACAGAATAAGCACCACGTTTGGATAATGAAAAATGCATTAGATTTCACGTTAATCACTCTCGGCTTCGCCTTGGGCATTTATGTACAAAAAATCGAGGACATTTTTAGCCTCACTCACTAGGTGCACAATATACTATTATGCCTAGAGGGCATGAAAAACATTTTTGCCCATGGGCTTAAAGTGACAACAAAGGATCAAAGTATGGCCTGAGGGCGTAATGCAACAGTTGCATATGAAGCTCATAATGAGAAAAATACGCTATAAGAATATCGTTACTTTTTTAATTAATGTAAATACGTACAATTTTCTGGCAGCATGTGTATTTTAAATGAAAATTTTGGTATTTAACACACAAATTGCACCAATGACTTCTAAGCATACCTTTCTTATTTCATATTAATTTAAAATTGTTAATATAAGTATTGTTTCAGAACGTTACTATAAGAAAAATTCTGAATATGTCTACGAAATCAGTGTTATAATTATTATAAACAGTTTTAATTTACAAGAAATATCTTTCTTGCATTAATATAAAAGTTAAAATTATTGTAATGAGTAAAAACAATTGCTTATCAGATATTCAATTATAACGAACAAAAAATTGTTAGTATGTAAAATAGTGTTTTCATTATTAATAGTGAGCTACTACCATACAAGAAAATTTTCAGTCGACTTTACTTATTTTCTGAGCTATTATTTTATTCCATAAGCTGATTTATTTAGAACTTGCATAAAACATTTACACAAAAGTAACTTTTATCTCACAATAAAGCGTTTTTCTATCATAAATGACATATAAGTGTGCTATTTTCTTGTGTTATCTATAAAAAGAATAGTCATAGATATTCCTTGCACATTTTTAAACTTTTCTAAGAATAATGTTGTGTTTATTAAGAAGGACTCTGATGATTTTAAAAAACCATTAACTTTGGAATCTTGCAGCAGGTTAAATTAATAAAATAAATCAAAACATACTTGGTAAAACGGGAGCAGCGTTCATATTTTTTTAATATCCAACGTTTCGTCAAACCATGTTGACCTTTTCAAAGACCTATAAATAGTACTAACATGAACATTACTTGTTATATCAACATGCACATACGTACTGTTATCAGAAGCACCTCCCCGACCACTTCATGACGATAACATAGTTGTACATTAACTTAAAAATAGAGATTGTCATATATCAACACTGTTGGACCCCCATCACGGCTTTGCCGGAGACTTACTAAATCTTGCTAAATGGAGCACCATAGTCAGTTGATATGTAATGTGAAACATTTTAAGTTAGAAAGCTTACGTCTATTCCTGACACTTCTTAGAATAAAAATCTTTTTATTAAAAACATATTTGTTCCGAATCCATAATTTTTTTTTTTGTCAAATGATAAGTTACAAAAATTGTAAAAAAAATATAATTATCCTAAAAAGTACCCTGCGTTCTTTATGTTAGTAAATAATCGTTGGCCATGAGGGGCCGTTAATTTGCAGTTTCTTTCGTATAATTTACGAAAAAAGCTATTTTTTAAAGCTGCTAAGATTTTAAACTCCCAAAAAATGTATACTATAAAAAATTTTTTGTTCCTCTTATCTCACAACTTCATTACTAGAGCAAGAAAGTTCTGGAGCCTAATTCCTACATTTTTTATCGCCACAAAAATACAAATACATTTCTTACTGATTTTAAAAACTGAAAGAGTTCAGAAATAACTGTGTGGGTAAATGAAAAGCTGATCTCTCATGAAATAAATTCTTTACTTGTTGATTTTGACGCTGCTGTTCCAATCTAAATAAATTTTTTGTGCCAGTTTCTTGACGCCTAAAATCGTATTTATTAAATAGATTTCAAGTTTTTCTTTCAATTTACTCTTTTGCAACTTTTGGCATGCTTGAGACTTTTGTAACCCCTAAAGGCTGTTTTCTGTTATGTTTCTTAAGTTCTAATATACTTGTTGGTAAGGTAGTTTGACGTCAGATAGTTCTAAAAAAAAGTCAGTGAGCTTTTTAAGTGTACTTTTTCTTGACTGGAGTTAACAGAAATTATGACTGCCTGGATACCTCAGGGTAATTTTCTCTGGCCTGCTGTTAAAGTCCCGGACTGATCAGGAGAAAAATTACATAGTCCAAAGCTGTGGAGATAGTTGTACAGATCTTTTCTAACGTCTTCTGGTATAACTTTGAAGACGTTGGTATCTAAGGCACATTTTTTTGCAGACTTAGTTTTTTGGTGATCTAACATAGGGAGATTGGTTTGTAATACTTGCTCATTGAAGACTGTCATGTTGGCTCAAGTTTCTTTTTCACTCATAGCTGTGAAGTTCGTTCAGCGCCCATTTTGCAGAGAATTGGTGATTCCTGGTTAAATGCTTAGAGTTAAGAGGGTAATACATGGTCATCGGTAGCCAGGGCTCTCAAGCTTGCAAAGAACAACTCCGCTTGTAACGACTGCCAGTGAATGACTGACTTGGTTAAATAATGGCCGTCTCTAGTTAACACAGTTTTTTAGACGACGAATCGCTTCCGAAAATGGTAGTAAAAATGTTTTTGTTGGTAAGGAAGTTTGAACTCAGGTGGCTCTTAAAGAAACCAATGACATCGATGGTTAAGTAGAAAACGTAAATACTTACAATGGCCCTGAAAACGGCTAGTGGTAAAACTTCCAGCTATTCTTCATTATTATTCGTGATTATGAAAAGCTGGCTGCAGGTAGCGTGACTCTGACCCCCGAAGTCTCTGTGTACGGATACTACGATGGAGGGAGGTACGCTGCTGACCAAGAAATATGTCGTCTTCGGGTCATTCCCCTGATTATTAACCGCTTATCCTTAGTCGGAAAAGTAGGCTTCAAGAATACTTTTTCTGTAGGTATGCCATTAGGGACACGACCACTAAGAAGGAAACCGTTGTGGCTGCTTCTGCTTCTCAGGGCTGTCTTTCCTAGCTTACATTTGATGTCAAAAATTCTCTGACGGCACCAGCAGGAATTGTGAAACGGCTACATAACTTTGAGAGGCTTAGAGAATCTTGCTTTTTAGTTAGACAATCAGTAGTCACTCCGTATGAAACCTTCTGTGTGTATTTAAGGCATTTTCAGACACTTTAATAATTGACTTTTACTAAAAAGTCTTTCTCATTGCTGTTACGTATTAAATCAACTGCAAAAGCAAGTGCTAATGATTCAGCCATTAAAATGAAGGAGTTTTGAGTTATTTTATATGATGTCAAGAGTGCTTTATTTTCTAACTACACAAGAAGATCATAAAACATTTCATTAGTATTATTTTGTTTCAATCCATCAGTGAATATTGTTATGTTTTGATCTGGTAATAATAGATGGAATTCATGGTTTCCGTAACAAATGTGCAAAATTCTTATGCCGTTTTGAAAATAAGGATCTGGAACAGAAAAACTTTTAAAATAGAGTGCTTCAAATTTAACAAAAAATTTTGTTAAATAGTTATAATCTAAAAGTGTCTTGGTTTCTCATAGCTTTTAATTAATAAAAACTCTTTAAAACTATGACATATTGAGTTCAAAAAGATAGCATTTAGAGGTTTTAAAAATTTTTAACGATAGCATAATTAGTGCAAGATAATTTTTTTTTTTTTAATTTGAACGCTTAAAGTTTAAGCCTGAATTTTAAAAACGGAATTTCGGATTCTGCTGCAATGATATTTGTACGCATGTTTGCTTGACAGCCAAAAGCTATTCCAAGGCATTGATTTTGTATAGTTTGTAACTGTTTGATGTGCATTTTCAGACAAGAAGATGGAAAAATTCCCCTATATTCTATAATCAAACGCGCTAAAGATTTGTAAGCCATGACAAGTAAATTTGAGTCTGCCTCCCACCAGGTTTCCTTAAGCAACAAATGACTTTGACTAGAGCTTTACGCCTATCACCAACATATTTGATGTGATTGTTCAACTGCACACTTTTATCCCGATACATTCTTAGAAATTTGATCTCCTTAAACAGTTTGATCTCTGTTTTATCTATGTTTAAAAATATAAGTAGAGTTTAATATTGTCTTGGCGCAAAATCAGAAAGGAGCTCTTATCAGGTTATACACTTAAGCCTTTTTTTTAATAAATTCAGCTAACTTTTAAGTGTCGCACTGTCCATAATATCAAAATATTTCTAAGTGTCATCTAATAAGGTAAATAATGCATTATCATTAGCAAATTAAAGTTTTTCTGATAGTCTTCAAAGCATAGAGCTAGCCATTGCTATAAACAGTGCATAAAAAATTGGGCTTGATGTAAGACCTTGAGTAAAACCTGTGTGCGCTTTTAGAAGTTTCTGATTATCTGTATTTAAAAAGTACATATTTCTCTAAAAAGAAAAGTATCTCATAAAGTTACAAAATTTCTTCGGTTATTTATTTTCCAACAGGTCTTTAAGAAAGGTATCTGAAAAGGAGTTGTCAAAGGCCCTTTGACGTCTAAAAAAACTGCTACTTAATTTCTTTTTTTCTAGAAAGCTAGTT